CCAGCTTGGTCTACAAAGTGAGTTCTGGGACAGACAGAGCTGTTTCACAGAGAAACCCTGTCCCAAAAAACAAAAACAGAAACAAACCAATGACCCCCCCCCCCAAAAAAAAACCCCACTATGAACTAAATAATTCTGTTTTCATTATAAAGGACAGGTCGCAAGTTCATTACCGTGGTAGGAAACGGACTAAAGGGGCTTTCCTGCCTAGAGCACCTGTCCATTCACAGACCTGCTTACCCTGAGCCGTTATTCCTCGTTGCAGAGACCTGCACACTCTCCTCTTGCTTGCTTTACCTCGTGAGCAACCCAGACACTTCCTAGTGTGGTATCCTCCTTCCCCCTGTTGGGGACTTTGAAAACAATACCATCTTTCCATGTCAGTTGTCTCTGGACCTGTTTTCCCCGCCGTGCTGGAATATGAAGAATCTACAGCAGCCCTCCTTGTCAGTTCTGGAGATCAAAACCCAGGCCTCATACATGCTAGGCAAGTACTCTACTATGGAACTACATCTCCAGCCCCAAACTTACGTTTGCTTATTTGTTTGTTAGGGAGAGGGTCTCTCTATGTAGTTTTGGCTGGCCTGGAACTCACTATGTAGGCCAGGCTGGCCCCAAACTCTGAGAGACCCACCTGCCTCTGCCTCCTCAGGTGCCAGGACTAAAGGCATGCGATACCATGCCCAACCAATGCACCTTGGAGCTGTGCAGCTAGCCTGAATGGCCCTACTATGAGTTCTACCCAACGTGCTTCTCTGTAACCCAAGAGCCTAAAACATCTTGCTTCTTATTTATTTATTTATTTATTTATTTATTTATTTATTTATTTATTTATTTATTTGTGAGACGGGATCCCATAAAGCACAGGCTGACCTCAGGTAGCCAAAGATGACAGTGAACTTCTGGTCTCCCTGCAGCCACCTCCCCAGTGCTGGCTTTACAGGCATGTGCCACCACACCTGGTTTATGAGGTACTGGGGACCAAAACCAGGGCTTCCTGCATGCTAGGCCAGCACTCCAGCAACTGGACTACATCCCCAGCCCTTATTCATTTACTCGTTTTGAGACAGAGCCTGAGCTCTGTACTCTGGGTTCACATTGTAGCCCAGGCTGGCCTTGAACTCTGCATTCTCCTATCTCCACCAAGTCCCAGCTACGAAAGACTTCTAACGTGAAAATCAGTTGTGCCTCTCTCTCATCTAACACCCCACAGAGCCTTCTGTTGGCAACTGGAATCAATCCCACGTGTCTCAGTGTGGTTTCCCAGGTCCTGTGCATCACGGACCCTGCCCTCAGGAAGCCTCTGCTCAGGGACCAGATGGTGCTAGCCGCCTTTTGGCTCTTTGTGGTGCCAAGCTGATCCTAGCTTGGGCCTTTGTATGTGTTCTTCCTGGGACATTTTCCCCCAGCTTTTGTTCACCAGCCCCTGTCCTTCAATGTCACCTCCAGATCTCATCTCGAAGCACCCAGTGAGACCCAACCCGTCACTCAGTCGTATTTCCTTCCTGGCACGGGCCACACTCTGATTCCCCATTTGATTTCTGTCTGTTCCTCATGCAGTCAGAGAACAGACTGCGGGCTGCCTGAGAACAGAGCCCTTGCCTATGCCCCGAGCCTGGCAGAGCTTGGCAGGTGCTACTGGCCGAATGGATGAGGGGTGTCTTAGGGGTGCCTTACCTGCATTTCCAGCACAAGAGGAATGCAAGGAGCCTTTGAGTGTGGACCTGTCTCCCGCTGTGACCCTGCAGCCACTTGGGAACTGCTGGCTCACCAGAGACTTCCAAACTCTTGGCCCCGGACCAGGCCACTGCAGTGGCAGGCTGGGGAAAGGCAGACAGAGCCTGCTTCCTGGAGAAGCCGCTGTCGCATGAGGTCCTGCTGACCATCACATTTCCCCTACAAGGATGCCTTGTACTTCCCGCAGGACCCTAGGCTTGCCAGCTGCTCGGCCATAGCTGGGCTGTGTCTTCTCTTGGCCCACAGGCTACGATGCAGCTCTTGCTGGTGCAGTGATGTCTGGAGCATCTGCCAGCACTTTTATCTTTCTGTGGCGTCTGCCAGCTGAGAGCTCATCCTGCTTCCCCCTTGAAGCTCAAGGCAAGGGGTGGCAGCCCTGAGGGCAGGTGCTTCTCTTTTCTTACCCAAGGTCCCGCCCTGGCTCGCACTCAGGCCAACCGCTCCTGATCTCTCTCTCTCTCTCTCCCCGCTTTTCCCTTTGCTCCCCACTCCTAGGAAGCCTCAAATCAAGTTTGGGATTCTACCCCCTCCATCTGGCTCCAGCAAGAGCCACATTGCTCTCGTGCCCCTTCTGTCCTAACGTATTGCAGTGCTCCGCAGACGAACATCCTCCCAGTCATATTGGTCATGTGCAGAGCGAAGGGACCCCCACTCCCCAGCACCTGGGCTTGGTGTCTGTGACTCCTCAGTGTGCCCTCCCTCTATGGACAGTTGTCATGAGGGTCTTTTATTTGTCAGGTACTGGTTTCCTGGGTCAGTCGCACGGGGTGGGATAAGCGTTTTGGTCATGTGTGCGTTGTGTGTCTGTGAGCAAATGCTTCAAAGGTACACCATGTGAATCCTGAGACAGGCAGATGTCCACGTGCCACAGAAGTTAACTAAGAATGATCTGAAACGTATGTTGGGCTAGCGGGGTAGCTCGGTGGTAGATTGCTTTTGTCATAGGCTCAACGTCCTGGGTTTTATCCTCAGTAATGAAAAAGACAAAAACAGAAAACAAACCTAAACATAGAAGCCTAAAGGATTAACTTCTAGGATAGAATGCAAAGCACACATTTCCCTGGCAAGACTGTGGTGTGGCTCAGTGGTGTGGCTCTGTGGTGTGGCTCAGTGATTTGGTTCAGTGGTATGGCTTGGTGGTGTGGCTCTGTAGTGTGGCTCTGTGGTGTGGCTCTGTGGTGTGGTTCTGTGGTGTGGCTCTGTGGTGTGGCTCTGTGGTGTGGCTCAGTGATTTGGCTCTGTGGTGTGGCTCAGTGATTTGGCTCTGTGGTGTGGCTATGTGGCAGAATACTTGCTCTAGTGTACATGAGGCCCTGGATTTCATCCACAGTACCATACACAGAAAAATCTTTATGACATTGGCTTAGGCTTCTTAGATGAGGCACGAAGAGCACTGTTGCTCTCGCAGAAGACCCGGTTCAGTTTCCAGCACCCACATGGTGGCTTATAATGATCTGTAACTCCAGATTTTTGGGATCTGATGCCCTCTTCTGACATCTACCAGCACCAAGTACACATGCAGTGCACATAAATACATGCAAGCAAAACAGTCATGCATGTGAAATAAAATAAATACATATTTTTTAAAAAAGTGTAGAAAGATAAAGGAAGGCACCCGATCGATGACCTCTGACCTACACGTGTGCACACACAGACACAGATGAGGGGGAGGGCGGAGAAACTCAGCAACTTAGAACAACGTGGGAGCAACGGTCCAGCGGGGGTGTATGATGACAGGCTCATTCCTTCCCCAGCGCCGTCCTCACCACATAGGGGACACACACGTGTTTCCGATCAAGCCGGTCACAGCTAAATTGGTTTGGGGATGTTTTAAAAGATGTCTTCAAAGTAAGCAGAGATGACACTCTATGATGGCCACATAGAGGTCTGTGAAGAACCCTGCTCATCTCAACCTCTGGATATCTGTCCTCTCCCATGTACACTTTCCCTGGTCCTGGTTGTGTCTCACAGGACTAGGGAATGTGGGGAGGGCTCTAGGCTAAGACTCTTGACATCAGCTGAGTCCAGTGTGGCTGACCCCTGCCTTAGACCCTCACTTCCAGGTCTAGGCCTGGCACTTTGCCCCATGTCCCACCTCAGACTGCACTCAATGTGACCTCAATCCTTGCTGAGGATCAGCAGTCTTTTCTTCAGGCCTCCTGGTGGCCCTGGGCGTGGTGACAGTGGGCCCCAGCTTCCCTTAGCTCCCCAGCCTTCCTGGAACCTTCTTGCCCAACATCCCATGTGGTAATCATGCCTGTTGGTTCTTCTGGTCCTGACAAATTCCCCCTGCTAGTGATACTTGGAGAGCAACCATAGTGAAAGAAAGGGCTGGTTCATGTTTCTTCTCACACCAGAGTTCCCTCTCCAGGTGGCAGGCTCAGAGGTGACCATGCAGCCTTTCATGCAGTCAGTGGGGTGTCTGGGAGGAGCCTCTCAAGAAGGAACAGAGCTGTGATGCTCCAAGAGTAAAGATGGGCACCCTCATCTAGGAGGTGGCCAAGGGCATCCTGCCGTGAGTACAGCACCATCCCTGCCTTCCTCCACCCAAAGTGGCTTGAGTTCTGCGGAGATTAAGGGTCACAGAGGAAGAAACAGCTTCATCTTCAGTGTCAGGGGTCATGGGGGACACTGTAAGGTTAGAATTAAAATGGGCATGAGGTTGAGAACAGGGCACCTTGGGATGGAGCCAAAAGCTGTCTTTTAAATACTTGCTGCTCTCTACCTAAAGCATCCTTTTATTTCCTGTCTTACTTAAAGCCACACAGGCACAAGCTAACCCTCATCATCTGGCCCACACTCTCACTACCATCATTTACAGAAGAACACAGAAACAGTCCCAAGACTCTGTAAATTAGGGGGTGTCAGAGATCTGGAGCTGACTGGCGAAGGTGTAGCAAGAGCGTGCACTCCCAGCGTTTAACTCACTCCTCTGGGTACGGGAATGCCTAGTGGATCAAGCTGTTCACTCTACAGATGAGGGACCATGAGGCCTGGGGAAGGTTCCAGACCACAAGCCAGAGACACTGCTCATCCTCTGAATCTTCTCAATGACACATCCACTATCTCCACCCCTAGCATCTTCAGGGGCACACGCGCGTCTCCGCGCAGCAGGGCAGCCCTGCCACTGAGAGAATGACTCAGGTAAGAGAAAAGACCATGCCTGCAAGCATAGCAGCAGGACGCCAGGAAGCACTCGAAGGCCCCGCCTCCGCCACCGCGCCCGCGAGATAGGGGGCGTGCCCAGGCCCGAGGCCCCGCCTCCTCCGCGCGCCTCGCCCTTGGCCCCGCTGCGCGCGCTCCTGGCGCCCGAGTGAGCGCAGCGCGGGGCCGCGGTGGCCTGAGGCCTGCCCGCTGGGCCCTGTCGCTACGCAGCCTGAAAAACTGCGGCGTCCCAGGCTGAACTTGGCCTCGCGCCCGGGCGCTCTCGGAGCACCGAGGCGCGGCCCCGCGTGAAGCGCGCACCTGCCGAAGACGAAACATGGGCAGGGGGTCCCAGGTCCCCCCAACGCCCCAGCCTCCTGTCGCCTGTCCTGTTAGCCAGCCCGGGCCACTTCCCGGAGGAGCGAGATGAAGTAAGCTGCACCCCCCTGCTTGCTCTGGGCTGCGCACTTCTTTCACCCGAAGGCACGCCAGTCAGCTGGCCACGGGGGCGGCTGGGGTCCAACTGCTCGCCCGAGTCACCGACCCTCCACCCGCACGCCCCTCCTTGCGCGGAATAAAGGCATCATCTCCCCACCCCACCCCACCCCACCCCACCCCTGCAGGGCCTGGGGATGCGGTGCAGTTAGGTGGCGGGCCAGTAGGAGGCGGCCAGGCCCCTTCCCTGGCAGCCCTGGGGGCCCAGCGCGCCCTTGTCCCTAGGCTTCCCGGAACGTGCTGCAGAGAGCAAGCTGGTGATTTCCCAATGCTTAAACTTTGGCAGCTGCTATCGCATGAGCGTTCTCTAAATACCGACCCCGCAAATTCTTTTCCAGAGGCATGGAGCCTCCGAAAGTCGTCTTTCCCAGCCCTGAATGCTTAGCCGGAAGCAAAGAACTGAAAGTTCCATACAGCTGATTTAGTAGGTAGTCCACCCCTTCCTTTGTGGCCCTTAAAAGGTAACCAGTTGGAAAACCAGGACCCCTATAGTCTGCCGTGAAGCATGGCTGACCGACTCTTTTGAGTTGATGAGGCTCATCTTTACTTTGGGAACACATCACAGAAAAGCGCCTGTTTAAGAAGGGCGTAGTGGTGTACACCTTTAATCCCAGCACTTGGAGGGAGAGGAGCAGAGGCAGGAGGCAGAGGCAGGAAGATCTCTGAGCACTCTAGGCTAGTCCCACAATGAGACCCTACCTTTAAAAAAAAAATGTTGTGTTTGATTTGAGCACGGCTCATTTTAAAAGAGTTTTGGATATAACAACAACAACTTTTTTTTTTTTTTTTATACAAGACAGTTTAACTGAAAACAACAGATTACTATTGGCTCTTTGGGTAGATCAGGGACCATTTAAAGAGGAAAGGAAAGATGGGCTGGTAGGGCCCACCCATTATCCCAGCATTTCTGAGCCTGCAGCAGAACATTGAGTCAGGCCGGCCTGGGCTACCTAGCCACACTCTTTTCTCCAACTAAAACAAAACCAAAAAGGAGACTTACGAAGACTGCTTTAGCATCTGTGGCGCAGTCCTCCAGACCTGCTAGAGCAGCTGTCCTGGTTTGTAAAGTCAGGAAGATCTCTTACATCATGGCCTCACGAAGTATGTTTTGTTCCCTGATCTGCTCTCTTCTGGCCAGCTATTAAAATGAGGTTGTTTGTCCCCATTTCACAGCCAGGGAAAATAATCTAGAATGAAGCCGGGGGGTTAGCGCCACACACTTACAGCCTTCCTCTTTTGACTCTTTGGTGTCATTTTTTTCCACCTAGGACATCATCCATGCTAGGCAAGCCCCAAACCTGTGAGCTACAGCCCAGTTTTTATTTCTTTTCAAATAATGTGTTATTTTTTAAAGGTTAAAAAAAATGTGAGTGTGAGTATTTTGCCTGCATGTCAGTATGCGGTGTGTGCAATGTTCACTGAGTCTAGAAGAGGGTTTGAGCGCTCCTGGAACTGGAGCTATAGATGGTTATGAGCTACCGTGTGGACGTGGGGAATCAAACCCGAGTCCTCGGCAAGAGCAGCATGTGTTCTTAACCACTGAGCCATCTCTCCAGCCCCGTTTATTTTATTTGTATGTACGTGTGTACGTGTGTGCATGCCTGTGGAGAACAGAAGAGGGAGCTGGAGCCCCTGGAGCTGGAGTTACTGTGAACTGCCATGTTGGTGCTAGGAACTGAACCTAGGTCTCTACAAGAACAGCAAATGCTATTAACTGCTGAGCAAATTCTCTAGTCCTCCCCTCCCCCACCCCCATTTGTTTTGTTTTCATTTTACTTATTTATTGTATATGTGTGGTTGGGTGTTTTATCTCCGTGCATATCTGTGTACCACATATGTGCCTGGAACCCTTGGAGGCCAGGCGAGGGCTGGAGTTACAGATGGTTGTGAGCTGCAGTGTACATGCTGGGAATGGAACTCAGGTCCTCTGCAAGAGCAGCAGGCACCCGTAACTGCTGAGTCATCTCTCCAGCCCTGCTGCGGTTTTTTGGGACAAGGTCTTGTTTTGTATCCCAGGCTGGTCTCAAGCTCTCAATCCTTCTCCCTCAGCTTCTTCAGTTAGGGGATTACAGACATAACCCGGCTGTCATACTCTTCTTCTGGCCAGATGGTAGATTTCTCAAGATCTAAGAAGGGGCCATCCCAGCCCTGCAGCTCTTCAGTCAGCATGATCAGGGGAGCCAGCTGAGCTCTTAGGAGCCGTGCCTTGCAGTTTTCCTGTAGCAAGGTGGTTAATTGTATTTGAGGCATTGAGGGAAGTGCCTTCATGATGCTCATGTTCAGGGGTAGAAGCTAGCATTTCATGAGAGCCTACGGCTTGCCAAGCACTGCGCTAAAGTGCCTTACACGGATCATCTTCGTGTGTGCTTATAATGGACTTGCTTTTCTGTTCTGTGGTTGAGGAACAAAGAAGTTAAATACCGTCTCGGGTCACCAGCTGCAGGGAGGCACAGAGTTGAATTCCAGATTGTATACTCAGTGTCTTAGCCCACAGGGCCTTTCAGGTTTTACTAGGATATCAACTCCCTGTCTTTCTAATATCAGAAGGAGGGCATACAAGTCACTATTAGGCAAGTGGACATGGGGCCTTAGCAGAGACCAGTGAGAGGCCATTAGTGTCTGGGGTAACGTGACAACCTCGAGCAGTGCCTGGCCAGCTGGTTTGTGTGAGTCGCCACTGTGAGGAAAGCCAGTGATGCTACACCAAGCTGTGGGCCACATTGTTGCTTGGGGATATCACCACACATTTTCTTTCTTCTCGCTCTCTCTTTTTTAAAAAGGTTTATATTTTTTTTATTTCTGTGTAGGAGTTTTTGTCTGCATGTATGTATGAGCACCACATGTGTGCAATGCCTGCAGAGACCAAAAGAGGTTGCTGGGTCCTCTGGGACTGCAGTTACAGGTTGTTATGAGCCGTCGTGTGGGTGCTGGGAACTGAACCTGAGTCCTCTGCAAGAATAGCAAGTGATCTGGATTGCCGAGCCGTCTTCCCAGCCTTTAGCCGCACATTTGATAGCGGCATTGGAGGTCAGTGCTACAACCATTGCTGTCACCTCTGACTTGTCTGACCTTCAGCAAGGTAGTTGACCTTTCTGTGTCTTAGTTCTCTGCTACACAAATGGTTGATGATGGTACCTACCTCACAGAATTGTGGGAGGAGTAAAAGAGGCCTAGCATTTGGCATATGGCGTATGCACCATAAATAGCTCACACTCACCAAATAGTCTTGGTATAAGCAAGAAGCAGCTGCTGGTGGGTTGCACTGTCACAGTGCCTGAAGTGGCCGTTACAACGTATTGTTTTCATGCCATCATTCAGTCCTAGGCATCTTGTACTGAGGTTACAGCGATCCTGTGCAAATGGTATTTGTTTAGCAGACATCACTGGGGCATGCTGACTGCTTGGCCCTGTTTGGGATGCCGGATATGCTGCAGTAAGATGAACGTACCTCTCCTTGTTCAGGCTGGACTTGATTTCTCGGGAGAAAGAGTGGCAGGCAGTAAGCAAGCTCCATGTAATCATCATACAGGGTCCTCGGAAGTGTTAGAGACCTAGGGCTGGGTGTAGCTAGAGTTTTCCTGCCTGGCCCACAGTCTGGACAAATCTCTCACCCGCCAGTCCCAAGCCGCTCAAACCCGATCAAGTAAACACAGAGACTTATATTGGTTACAAACTGTATGGCCGTGGCAGGCTTCTTGCTAACTGTTCTTACAGCTTAAATTAATCCATTTCTATTAATCTATACCTTGCCACGTGGCTTGTGGCTTACCGGTACTTTACATCTTCCTTATCCTGATGGCGGCTGGCAGTGTCTCCTCCCTCAGCCTTCCACTTCCCAGCTCTATTCTCCTCCTTGTCCCGCCTATACTTCCTGCCTGGCCACGGGCCAATCAGTGATTTATTTATTGACCAATCAGCAACACATTTGACATACAGACCATCCCACAGTACTTCCCCTTTTCTTTTCTTAAAAAGGAAGGTTTTAACCTTTACACATCTCCAAAGTCTTGGTATATTTGGGAATTTGGGCGTAGCTTCTCTTACTACTTCCTGCTGGAGGGGGGCGCTGTATCTTATGGGGACCAAAGAATATTTTAGGATTATGGAGTAGTCCATGAGGTTGTATCGTCTAGAAACGGTTCTGGATGTTGGATCATCTGGGCCATGGTGTCATCGGAGACCTTTCAGGGGGTCTTGGCTGGTCAAACCTGATGTGTCTTAATCTGGAACAAATCCATAGCCTCTGGCTTTCTGTGGGAACAAAAGCAGAATCTCCTTTCCAAAGCAACATATCCTTATATCCAAATTTTGAAGTCAAGGTACCTTTAAAATATACATTTTGGCATAACTCAACAGCTTTTGTAATCAAATGTTTTTCTTTAGTTACAAATATCAAAGAGAACATAATCCAGATTCTTTGTGTGGTAGCCATCTTTACGTGGCTTATTTTTTTATATTAGCTTGAGCCTATTGCTTTGAACTGCAGCCTTCTAAGCCTGAAACGGCGCTGGTGCTGTGGCTGCTGGCTCCGCCCACCTCAGCTTCCCAACATGGCGGCGGTATGCTTACCGGGGGGGGGGGCAAGCAGGGGAGAGCAAAGAAGTTCATAGGGCAGGAGAGATGGCTCAGCAGTTAAGAGCACTGGCTGCTCTCCCAGAGGACCTGGGTTCAATTCCCAGCACCCACATGGCAGCTCACACCTGTCTATAACTCCCATTCCAGAGCACGGGCCCCCAAGCCCTATTCTGGCCTCTGCAGGCCCCAGGCATGTGTGTGGCACACAAACATACAAAACACCCCACACACATAAAATAATTTCAGGGAAATTCAAGGTCATCCTCAGCTATATAGCAAGTTTGAGGGCAGCCTAGGATCCATGAAGCCAGGAAGGAAGGAAGGAAGGGAGGGAGGGAGGGAGGGAGGGGGGGAGGAGGCAGGAAGGGAGGGGAAGAAAAAACTACAGAGGGAAGTAGAGCGGGGAGGAGGCATGAAGTGGAGTGGCAGTTCTAGTATTTTGTGGAGTGGTCTGAGAGAGCCCGACTGAGCAAATGGTCTTGCTGCAGTTAGTGAAGGAATGCACCATGTGGGCACCTGTGGGGGAAAGTAGGCCAGACAGAGACAAGAGCCAGTACAAAGGCTGGAGGCAGGAGGATGGGCAGAATAGTACAAGAGGTCATAGAAGTGATAGGGAGAAGCTAGACTGTGTCGCCCCTCCAGACAGACCTGTGAACAGAGAACTGGCATGATACCAACCCTGGGAGGGTCGCTCTGGCCCCTGGGCCGACTCAACTCTGCAGGAGCCAGAGGAAGCTGTAAGAGGGAGGAAGGGCCTTCTGTAGTAAAGCAGGCAGAGGTGATAGCAGAACACTGTGCTCCAAACCTCTGTAACTTTTACTGTGTTTGTGTGTGCACACGTGTGTCCACATGTGGAGATCAAAGGACAGGTACTGGAGTTGGATCTCTCCTTCCATCCTGTGAGCTGAACTCAGGTTATCAGGCCTGGTGATGGGGACCTATAGCTGCCCCCAAATATAACCTGAAGGTCGACATTAGTGTTTTCCAACAGACCAGACACCTCTAAGGTTTGTGATCTGAACGTGTGTACGTTTACGGGGGCTTGTGGGAACTGCATTTGAAGCAGGTTGAGAGGTGTGGTAGTACCTGCCTGTAATCCCTGTGCCAGGGAGGATGAGGCTGGAGGATGGCAAGTGGAGGCCAGCCTGGGCTACGTGGAGATGCTTTGTCTCAAAAACAAAGAAACACAAACCTGAAGGGAAGGAGAGAAGGGGAGAGGAGGGGAGAGGAAAGAAGGGAAGAGGAGGGGGAGGGGAGGGAAGAAGCTAGATTTTTTGGTCAGTAAACCAGTTGGATTTTGATGTGGTTAAGCCTAGTCAGCATTCAACTAATGTGACCAGAGGATCAGAGTGTGGGTTGATTGACCACTCTAGAGGTGAGGTGGGGGAGTCCAAACTGGAAATACAGCCTTGGCCACACAGATAGCAACTGGCTGGTCAACTTTGAACAGCTACTATGTAGGAGGCGTATTGACCTTTGTTCTTAATGGAATTCAGTTGGTTATTCATTCATCTAACTTTGATTTGGTAATGGCTATGCTTGACAACCCGTTGGGAAAACACCCAGAAATTTAGCAATCAAATCTTGCAAACAGGTACAAAGGGGCTTTGGGTGCCCTCACTGCTTCCAGCTGCCATCTGAGGAGGCCAGGGAAAGGGCTCTTTGAGTGTAGAGAAGAGCTTGGTCTGGAAGCCCAGGTCCCCAGATTGGCCGCAGAGGACCAAATGCAGCTCAAGGTTGATTGACACTCCTGTTTGCCTGAACTGGTGAGTCTGATATCGGACCTCAGAACTAGAGGGGACCTTTGGCTGGTAGGGATGGTTTTATAAATGTTCTTTCATTTGAATTCTTGCTTCCTTCCCAGTTCTTTTAAAAAGTCCAGATTTCTGGGCCGTGATTTGAGGAGTATCCCTTCTTCTAGCCCCACCCCCAGGAGTCAGCTTTGTCAAGGCATCTGTGAGAGCTAGGAAAGGGTCTGTGTGTGTGTGTGTGTGTGTGTGTGTGTGTGTGTGTGTGTGTGTGTGTGTGTAATGACCCCTGATTTTCCCTCTCACTGCTATGGCTAGCCAACAGCACCAACCCCATGCTTCTTTCTCTGCTGGCCTGGGCAGGGACAGCTGTAGGCTGGCTGGCCATGTCCCCCTTTCCTGTGAGAGTAAATGGAAGATGGAACTGGACTCTTCTGTTCACCATGGCCAAGTCAGTCTTTCACCTTTTGGAATGTTAGCAGGGCCTTTCTTAGTTGGGAGTTGGAGAGCCAAGAGTGTTGAAATAAGATCCTTGTGTGCACACTCAGTCCTAATTCTAAATTGAGCCTGTCAGAGCGGTGCGTTGTCACCCAAAGGAGGCCCACCTGTCTTCCTGCTTGCTGACTCCACCTCTTTTTTACTTATTTTGTGTGTTAGAGTATTTTGCCTGCATGTTCATATGAGCACCATGTGATGCTTGGTGTAGGTTTCCCTGGAACTGGAGTTAAGGATGGTTGTGAGCCACCATGTGGGTGCTGGGACTGGGCCCTCTGCAAGAGCAGCAAATGCTCTAAACTTCTGAGCCTTCTCTCCAGCCTCTATCCTCTCTCTTATTTTTCCTTGCTTTTCTTTCTTTTGATTTGGGGTTGCTATGTAGCCCAGGCTAACCCTGAACTCACAATCCTCCTGACTCCCAACGGCTGAGATTGTAGGCTTGAGTCACCATGTCCTGTTCCAGCCGTTTCTTGAACAACACAATTTGTTATATATGAAATTGTATTCTCCACACTCTCCTTAGCTTGTTTGGTTTTCTGAGACAGGCTTTCTCTGTGTATCCCTGGCTGTCCTGGAACTCACTCTGTAGACCAGGTTGTAGACTTGGCTTTATATCTCTTGGCCCTGTGACCCACAGAGGTCTCTGTCTCCCCTAGCACTTCCCTGCCTATATAGATAGGTGGTGGCGTCTCCTTGATAGTGGAGTGGGGACCTCCCTGGAAAGCATGGGACCAAGGGCCAGTAAACTACCTGGACATACTTAGTTTACTTCCCTGGCGAGGAAGCTGAGACCTTGCCAGATTAAATGCCCTCTTCAAGGTTGTGTGGTTATGGAGGATGAGGGTAAAAGTATGGCTGAGAAAGATGTTTTCCAGTGTCCATGTTGACGTCTCTGTCCTTCTCTCCAGCTTCTCGGACTGTTTAGCAATGGTTTCCTGACTGATTGCTTAATTAGACAAAGAAGAAAGCAAGGGAGAAGAAAATTCCTAAGTGGGCATTTGGTTTCCTGCCTCTTGACCAACATCCAGCATCGTGTGCGCAGCTCTGGTAGGTTATTTCATAGCCCCTTCCTCTCAGTGCGAAACCCCTCAAAGGTAGCCTCTGCAGCAGCGGGAGGTGCAGCTGCAGGGCGGAGAGCCAGGCTCAACTCTCACTGTCCTCATCCTGGGAGACTGATATTGGTGAAATTATTAAGGCCACTCCATGTAGTTAAAAGGGAGGTTTATTTTGTGGGGTAATTTACAAATGAAGTGATAGCTTACAGGGTCTGGAAAAGGTGTGGCGCAGTCCGGCAATGTTCTCTGGAGAACTCTGCTCGGTCTACCTCCAGCATCCAGGGTCCAGGAACCAAGAGAGCTGGCACATCTGGATCTCAGGTCTTCAGGGTCCTCCCTTGGCCCCGTCTTGTAGGTGTGACAGTTACCGAAGCCTCAATGGGGGTTGGAACTTCCAGATCAAAGCTGGAATAGCTACCCACTACAGGCTAAGCTGACTGTGAGATTGGTAACAGACTTTGCTCACCAGAGTGCTTGGTGGGGTTGGCTCTGTAGCCCAGAGGAATGGTCAGTATCTCAGCAATGGTGTTGTGCCACTCTGGGGTGGGACATCACTTTATATTTAAATTTCTTCCCCTCCCCCCTCCAGACAGGGCCTCCAACTACTTATATTTGAAGCTGACTCTGAATTTCTGACCTCCCTAATTTCACCTCCCAAGTGCTGGGTTACAGGGGCACATCGCCATACCTGGCCTATTTGAGTCGTCTAATTAGTTAATATTTGTCTAGTATTCATTAAAAAAACTTTTTATTACTCTTATTTAGTGTGTGTTACATGCATGCATACCCATTTACTTGCCATGGCATGCATGTGGGGCTCAGGGAACAAATTCAATGGAGTCAAATTTCCTTCTACCATGCGGTTCCAGGGACTGCAATTGGGTCACCATGCTGCTCAGTAGTAAGAAGTGCCTTTACCCACTGAGTCATCTCATCCATCTGGGGGTGGGGAGTGAGAGAGAGGGAGAAAGAGAGGGTGGGAGGAAGGGGGGGGAGAAAGAGAGAGAGAGTGTTATTGTTTGTTTTTTGGTTTGGAGACAGTCTTACTATGTAGCCGAGGCTGGGCTTGAACTTTTAGTAATTTTGCCTTAGCGTTCTGACTGCTGGGATGACAGGCATGTGACCTCATACATGGTTGTGCATGTTTTTGTTTTGCTTTGGTTTGGGTCACAAACCTCATCTCTACTCATCTTTACAACGCTTCCCTCTTTCAGGTCAGCAGAATCTGTCAGGATTTTTTTTTTAATGTACTAGAGACTGGACCCAGGCCTCACCCCCGATAGACAAATGCTCTACCACTGACTGGGATCTTCAGCCCTTTTCTCATTCTTAATTTTGAGACAGGGTCTAAGTTATCCAGACTGACCTCAGACTCCATTTGTAGCCCAAGCTGGCTTGAACTTTTGACTCTCCTGCTTCAACCTCCCAAGTGCTAAGATCATAGGCATGAGCCACCGTGCCTGGTTTCTGGCATGTTTTATAGATGAAGAAGTCAGGACCCAAATGGATTAACTATTTTCCAAAGGTCCTGTAGCTAGAAGGAGGGTTAAGCCCAGTGCTTCGGACCCCCTCGCCCACACCCCCTCCCCGGGTCATGATTGACTAAGAAAGAGGGTTTAGCATGGTGACTAGAGCTTTATGGCTTCATAACTCATTCCTCCTCCTAGTCTCCTCAACTGTGTGGGAATATTATTTTTAGGTGTGTTACTTTTGTTTATGTTGCGTTTATTTAACTCTGTGAAGCTGTGTTACTGGGCCTGTCTAATGCACCTGATGGTCTAATAAAGAGCTGAACAGTCAATAGCGAGGCAGGAGAAAGGACAGGCAGGGCAGGCAGGCAGAGAGAAAAAAATAGAAGGAGAAATCTGGGAAGAGAGATTGAGAAGGAGGAAGACATTAGGGGCCTGCCACCCCGATACACAGCAAGCCACAGAGTAAGAGTAAGATTTACAGAAGTAAGAGACTGGGAAAAGCCCAGAGGCAAAAGGCAGATGGGATAAGTTAAGGAAAGCTGGCGAGAAACAAGCCGAGCTAAGGCTTATTAAGAATAAGCCTCTGTGTGTGATTTGTTTGGGAGCTGGGTGGCGGGCCCCCTAGAAAAGAGCAAAAACAAACAACAACCTACAACACAGCTGTCTTATGAGAATCAGAACCAGTGGGGCCAGGCAGCACCGCTAAGTCAGCTCATTCATGTTGGCTACCACAGTCAGCACAGGGCTTACTTGGAGCCATTTATGACCAGGAGAAGGGAACTAAAGTGTCGGAGGGAAGCTCCAGCAGCATTGTTCTGACCTGGTGATGGAAGCAGGAGGCCAGGCCGGCATGTGCATGTTTTATTTTTTCTCTTGGTGTGTATGGGTGTTTTGCATGCACTATATGCATGCCTGGTATCTACAGAGGCCAGAAGAGGGCATTGGATCCCCTGGGATTGGAGTTACAAACAGTTGTGAGCTGCCATGTGGGTATTGGGAATCTAACTTTGGGAGCAACTAGTGCTTTTAGCCACTGAGTTGACTCTCCAGCCCCAGGCATGCATGTTTTGATGCTGATGCCTTCTGTGCTCAGTGCTCTGGAACCTGGCAGCTGGAAGTATGCTCCTTGGGCCCAGCTGTCAGCTTTGGCCTCTCCTTTATCTTCTCCATCAGAATCTGCATTTTAAACAGTTCCCCAGGGAACTCAAGCTCACAGTACAGCTTGAGCGATGCTGTTAAGGTTAAAAAACAGGATCATAATGAAAAACAAGTAACACATTCTCCCCTCCCTGCATCAACACCTGAGACAGATGGGAGAGCTGGCCCTGAGATCCTGAGAGCAGGAGACCTGTCCCTGCCCCCAAGCAGCTGCAACACTCAGGAGAGCAGGCCCTGCACCTCGCTTGGGCAGCACAGTAGAGCTGACCCTGTTGGTGGACGTGTGAGTGAGTCAGCCCCAGAGTTGTGAGCATGGGAGAGCTGTCCCCATTATTCATCTGTCATGTGGCAGCATGGGCAGAGGAGAGATGCCCTCCACTCCCCCCTCCCATCAGTGCCTGAGGCAGGTGGAAGAAGTCATAAGAGTGGGAGAGCTGTCCCTGCCCCTCACCAGCTGCAGCACTCAGGAGAGTGGCCCCTGTGCCATGGCTGGGCAGCACAGTAGAGCTGGCCCAGGAGGTGTGGATGTGGGAGAACCAACCCTGAGGATGTGAAAGTGGGAGAACCGGCCCCGCCCCTTGCTTGTCACTGCAAAGGGTGAACTAGCCAGGCAGTGCTGGAGAGCTCACCCTAGTGGTGAAGACAGGGGAGAGCTGGCAGGCTGACCAACCCTGCAACTACCCAGGCCCAGAACTTCCTTCTCCAGGCTGTTCTCTGTGTTGACCCACCCCAGCATCCACCCTATCTGTGATCTGCTGGAGCAGGAGGGTGAGGGGTGGGGGTGGGGTTGATCCCGTGGACCCAAGGCTGCAGGATCTCTATGACACAGGGCAGCAACAGGGTGTCCAGGGTCTGGCATTGATGGTGTAGCAGAGACCAGGGGCCTTGAACCAGACCAATGATTCTTTGTGATAAATGCCTGCATGTAAAAATGTATGGATAAAGGGGTTTACTGATAAAGAAAAAATATTTCTCAAAATTTTATTTTGTTTTATTCTGGAGGTGGGGGTGGGAGGGAGATGGGTGGGATTGGGAGGCATGATGTGAAAGACACAAAGAATAAACAAAAAGAAAGTTAGAACAATGTGTGCCACCCACGCTGACTTCAGAAAGAGTAGTTACGGTAGGTGTTTAGTAATCACACTGTAAACAGTTCTGTTGAAATTCCCAATGCTGCTTGCTTCAAGAGTTCTGGGAATGCAAGAGAGAAGACTGGTTGACTTGGGCACTAGGTCCAGAACACACATGTTGTCCAAGGAAAATGGTGTGGTAGAGGACCAGAAGGCAGTGTGGGTCAGGTGCCATCCAACCTTGTCCTTAGAGAGGTGGCCTTGGGATCCCCCACCTGACAGCCCCTTGAGACTCCCAGCTTCTTTCTGTACCAGCACATCCCGAGCCCTGGCTCCCAGGGCCGGGTCAGGAGTTTGGGATGCAGCTTGCCAGCTGGCTCCTCCTCCTTCTCCAGGCTGTTCTCTGGGCTTCGGATTTCTCCTGCCCTGACCTTGCAGCTTTTCCTCCCCTGGGGCAGAGCTGGTGCCAGCGAGAAAGAAAGGCTCAGGTGCCAAGGACGGGAATTGGGAAGCAGAGGAAAACGGAATGCCCTGGAGTCTGTCTGTGTATTTGGGAACAGAGATGCAGGGTGGGCAGGAGAGGACGACGGGCCTCTCACGTGCTTTGAATGGACGGAGGTGTCTGTGCCCTGTGGACGCTGGCACAGGCACTGTGTTTGGGTCCTTGTCCTACTTGGGTGTCACCAGAGCCATCTTGGTGGCGGGTCCCCGGAGAGATGAAGAAGGAAGGCTAGGACCAGGTCAAATCGGGTGCATGGCTCACACCTGCAATCCCAGTACTTCAGAGGCTGAGGCAGGAGGATTGCCATGAGTGTGAGGCCAGGCCGCGCTACTGAGTAAGACCCTGTTTCATACAATAACAGTAACAGCAACAGTCAAACAAACAGGCAAATGTAGTCCCAACAGAACTGTGCTGGTAGGCTGGTCAACTCCGTGGGGCCTCTGGTACGCTCCATGATCTCTAATCCCCTTTCCCATCTGTGTGGTCATATTTATTCTGTTCATGCTGTCTGGTTTATGAACGGTGTCCCGCCAGTTTCTGTAGTTCCCTGTTCACCTTTCCACCTCCACACTGCCCCTATTTCCACCTTTACCTCCCTTAGCTGCGGTTCCTGCCCTCTCCATTCCTTCGGCCCTTTCCCAAAGCCGGGCTTCATGGAGAGCTGGAGGACTATGGTGATAGAAACACAACCCTGGGCTAGAACAGAGAACCAGCCCAGTAAATACTCAGGTCCCTGTGACTTGACTCAGGCCTCTTGCCTCTCAGATGTACCAGCTGCCACACGTCGGGCTGACAAAGCTAGCCAGGCAGGCATGTTTGCCTGTGGAAGGCCAAGCGATTGCCAGGACCCAGCTGCCACTCTGTCACTGTGGAAGCTTCATTCCAAGGCACCTCAGCCTTCCCATGTGCAAGGGGACTGTAGTCAAACTGTCCTGTGTGAGTCGTCAGGGCTCTGGTCTGGATCCAGTGAGATCAGACTGAGAACGTTTGGTTTTGTGATCGGCACCTGTGAATATCATTTTATACCGTCAGCTTTCCTGAAAACAGTGGCTGAGAGGCAGCAGGTACTGCCTAAGCATCGTATGAATGTGAAGCCATTTTATTCTTGCAACAAGCCTGTGATGGAGGCACCACTATAGCACCCATTTCAGAGGAAACGGGGTGTCGCCAGGCTAGTCGTCGGGCTAGGGAGCAGAGCTGGGTCGATACTCAGGCACTAGGCTGCACAAGCCTGTTTAATTGTTGTTATGATGGTTTTTGGTTTTATTTTTGTGTTGGGTTTGTTTGTTTATTTGTTTTTCAGACAGAGTTTCTCAGTGTGGTCCTGGCTGTCCTGGAACTCGCTCTGTTGACTAGGCTGGTGTTGAACTCAGAGATCCACCTGCCTCTGCCTCCCAAGTGCTGGGATTAAAGGCGTGTGCCACCAAGTACTTTCTTTTTTTTCTTTCCTGTGTTGGGAACGGGACCCACTGTCCTCGTTATACTGAACAGTTTACTACAGAGCCACATACACTCCACCCCCAAGTCTGTGCTTTCTCCATCACATTTATATGTGCATGTGCACATGTGCATGCATGTATACATGGAGGAGCTCAGAGGACAGCTTGCAGGAGCTGATTCTCTCCTCCCACCATGTGGGTCCCAGGGATTATACTCAGGTTGTCAGGTGGGGGCAGGTGTATTTTCACACCGAACCACGTTGCTGGCCCCCACACCCTCTATTAGTTGTGATTTTGTGTGTGGAGTCCAGTAGACATGGGAAAAGGCTGAGGATGGGTGAGAGAAGGTGGCTACTGGCTGAAGGGCACCTGCTGCTGTTCCTGGGTTAGGCTTCCCCTGCTGTCCAGCTAGCCTGTGCTCATGGCTGAGGCTAGCTGTGGCCGTGAAGTGGCCCACTGCTCTCTCAGCACTGTGGGCCTCCCTGGTGATTTGTGCCGCTCTTTGGTGCTAGCAGTAGAATGCCCTGGATCCATCGAATGGCCTAGGACTCTCCCGGGCCCAATTCCTGCTTACAAAGCAAGCTCCCTACACACTGACTTCCTGGCACGGAAGCCAGTCTGCTCAGGGGAGGGGAATGCTGAGTGACTATAACATTTTCCCAAGAAACATGTGGCTGTGTCTTGCCAGGCAGGAAATGTCTGATGCTCTAGCTGTGTTTCTTCCACATCATAACCTCCTGAGCCATGTCTGATACTTCCTCCTTCCTTGTCTCTTCTTCCCAGGCACCCAGACGGTTGAAAGATGCTCATAGCGGCAATGTGCTTAGCCCTTCTGGGCTGCCTGCAGGCCCAGGAATTCAAGGGACATGTTTCTATAATCCTGCTGGGAGCAACCGGGGACCTAGCTAAGAAGTACCTGTGGCAGGGACTGTTTCAGCTCTACCTGGATGAGGCTGGGAAGGGCCACAGTTTCAGCTTCCATGGGGCTGCCCTGACAGCCCCCGAGCAGGGCCAGAAGCTCATGGACAAGGCCTTGGAATCCCTCTCCTGCCCCAAGGACTTGGCACCCAGTCACTGTGATGAACTCAAGGGTCAGTTTCTACAGCTGAGCCAATACCGCCAACTGAAGACAGCCGAGGACTATCAGACCCTGAACAAGGACATTGAGACCCAGGTCCGGCAGGATGGGCTCTGGGAAGCTGGCAGGATCTTCTACTTCTCTGTGCCACCCTTTGCCTATGCAGACATTGCCCGCAACATCAACAGCAGCTGCCGACCACGACCAGGTGCCTGGCTGCGGGTTGTTCTTGAAAAACCCTTTGGCCATGACCACCTCTCAGCCCAGCAGCTGGCTTTAGAACTTGGAAGCTTTTTCCAGGAAGAGGAGATGTATCGGGTAGACCATTACCTGGGCAAGCAGGTGAGCTGCAGCTTGGAGTCCGGCATGGCTGTGCTGTGTGGGGTACCATGGATCTATCATCAAGGACTTAGTACCAAATGTAGAATTGGGCTAGAGAGTGTTGAGAACCCTCAGGATCTGTGTTCTTCCTGAAGGCAGACAGGAGATGTGGAAGCAGGAGAGACCAGTGAATAGCAGGAAGGACCATTTTCTATCTCCTTGTCTTGGCTTTCCAGAGAGGGTGTACATCCTGATCTCCCCATGTTGACCTGCCTTCTCCACAGAAGTGGTCCAGGGACTCTGATATCTGGATGTTTTTAATTTGGAAATGCTGTGGAAATTAGAATTAGCTTTTTAAATCCCTCACCCATCTGCCTTTTAAAAATAAAAATCTTGATCATCTTGAATTCTGTCTTGAGGCAAAAGGATGATAACAACTTAGAACTGAGTGAGGGAGTGGACTCTTGAATCCAAGTGGTTCAGTGAAGCGTAGAAACAGGAGCTGGGAGCGATCTGGAAGTTACAGGTCAGCGGCCAGTTCACTCTGCACAGGCCTCAGAACTCTGGGCTCATCAAGCGCTAGCATTCCCAGTACAGAGTGCACTGTGCCCTCTGGTACCCAGACTGCTGAGGTGGGCCACATACTGGGCAGGGAACCAGCTCACAGGCAGGTGCTTCCCTTCCCATCTGACCCTCTGTGTCTGTCATGGTAATAGTCTCAAACTGTGCTCCCCAGACCAGGGCCAGTCTTGATAAGGAATCAGTGCCCTGGAAATGAAAAGGAATATTATTAAATGTATACAGTTTAAAGTTTTTCATGTTACAATTTTGTCATTAAACTATTTTTATTAAAGTTGATAGTCTTAAAAGATAGGGTTCATTTTTTCCCCTTTACTGTCCTTTTTTTCTCTTTGTACTGCAGATTGAACCTGGGGTCTCAGGCATGCGAGGCCAGCATTCTACCACTGGCCACAGGAAGACAGTCAATTTTAAACATGTTCTTTCGTGGCTGGAAACTGTTTAAGCCATTTAGTTTTAAGTGTCTCCATTGAGCTGTGAGACCTGAGGTCTAGGACCTGGTGCCCACAGATGGTTTCTCCCTTAAGCGAAGAGGTCTGGAGCTCAGGAGCCAGGGCTCTTCCTTCACCCAGGAACCTGGGATGACCAGTCTTCCTCCCCGACAGGCCGTGGCTCAGATCCTGCCCTTCCGAGATCAGAACCGTAAGGCCTTGGATGGCCTCTGGAACAGGCACCACGTGGAGCGCGTGGAGATCATCATGAAGGAGACTGTGGACACAAAAGGTACGTGGGTCTGGTGCCCCGTGGGTCTGGTGCCCCGTGGGTCTGGCGCCCCGCGGCTCCTCAGCCTTGCCTGCCTGGGCTTTGGTGGCGCTCCAGGCTGCAGTCTGGAGTGCCAGCCAGGCCTTTGCACCGTGGCCAGCTCAGCTCGGAGGGCGGAGTCCTGTTGGTGTTTAAGCTCCTGCTGTGTGCTGCACTCTTTACTGAGCTGACCTGCAGGGTGCCTGGCAGCAAAGCCCAGGTTGTCACTGATGCCCTAGGAGGCATTTGGTCCAGTGACAGGCACCTGGTGCAGACACTTGAAACAGCTGACAAGAAGTCAGTGCTGGAGGTTACTCCAGGCATCTTTTCATGTGTGTGTCTGTGTCTGTATGTATGCATGTATGGTTGTTTTTGACGCAGGGTTTCATAGCTCAGGCTGGCCTCAAAATTACTACATAGCCAGGAATGACCTTGAACTTGTGATCCTCCAGCCTCTGCCTCCCTGGTGCTGGGACTCTAGGTGTGTGCTGCCACACTCCCATACTCCACTAATGTGGGTTTTACACTAGTGTGATGTGAGTCATTGCAGTTGTGAGGGTTTGTGCTTGTGTGAGTGATGCCACCGCCTGGGACATGGCAGCCTCTCCTGTGCCCTCCTCCCTCTCAAGTGACCTCTAGCACTTGCTCTTCCTGTGAGAGGCCTTTGCGGTCACTCCCTCCGGAAGCCACAGACTTCCATTGCTCTCTGTGGGGCTGCTCTTGTCCTGTGCTGGCCTCGCTGTCTCTCTCACGTGATTGTAGGTGCCAGGAGGCCACCCGTCTTACAGAGTACTGAATGAAGGGTGCCAGTCCAGGGTCGGTGCCCTCAGTGTGTCACTGTTACATCTCTGGCAAGAGTAGGTTTGCAGGTGATGACAGATAAGGTTTCTTTGAGCATTCTGCCATGTTATTACAAAACATTTAGAAGTGCTGTGCTTGTGTGTGCATGTGCGTGCACGCATGTGTCATGTGATCTTGTGGAGGTTAGAGGACAATCTTTGGAGTCAGTTCTTTTCTACCATGTGACTCCTGGATATTGAACTCAGATCATCAGGCTTGGGGTGGCAAGCACACATCTACTTACCAAACCACCTTTCTGGTCCTGTTATTATAATTAAAACCATTTTTATCTTTATTTCATTATTTCATGTGTGTTAGTGTTTTGCCTGAAAGTGTGTGTGCACCACATGCATGCCTAGTGCCCAGGGAGGTCAGAAGAGGACGCTGGATCCCCAGGACTGGAGTCACAGACAGTTGTGTGTCTCCATGTGGGTGCTGAGAATTGAATGCAGATCCTCTGCGAGCGCATAAGTGTTTTTAACCACTAAGCCCAGTGATTAAAATCTCTCCAGCCCTGTTACTAAAATTTACAACATTGGTTCTTACATCATCATCCTCTAATAACTGAATAACAATAATAATTTAAAAAGCTAACTGTCTCCCCAGAAGCATATGAGGTAGGGACAATTACTGGCCTTCTCTACAGGAAGTGCTATGGCACTCTGTCCAGGGGCCTTGGTCTGTTTCTAGGCCAGCACTGTGGCCCTGGCTCTCACACCTGGCACCACTACACAGTGCCACCACCCCACACAGCTGTATACCTACCTTCTGCAGCTGCAGGAACTCCCTGGGGCCACCCCCCTCATACCCCAAAATGTGACCTGACTAGAGGAGAGAGCTCTAAGCTCCTGGACCAAAGAGCAGCTAGAGGTCTGTCCTTCCTCTCTTCCGTTTGTCCTTTTTGCTTTGTCTTTCTCTTCCTCTCGGTAACTCTGGCTTCTCTCCTCTCTCTTGGTGTGTGTAGTTAGTGCTGGAAGCTCTGGGCTGGGTGGTAGGTTCTCAGACGAGATCCAGCCTCTGGGAGGCTGGGGTGGGGGTGAGAAACTCCAGTATGGAGGCCACAGGCAGACTGTGGTAGGCAGGTGAGGAATGAGGGGCAGGAGGCTAGACAGAGCTTCCCAGCCAGGCCTAGACAGGCATCTCTCCATCAGGAGGCACTGGGTCTCCCTCCTCCAGGATCACAGCAGAGAACATTACAGCCCCCTGTGGTGGCTTCACCTGGGTCTCAGGACATCTCCAGAGCCCTTTCAGGTGTCTGATGTCCAAGCAGGAGTGTGTGCTGCAGCTGTCCTTGCTTCGTCTGCAGAGCTGAGCTGCAGCTCTGGTACTGAGAACGTGGGTCCAGTGAGAGGTGCAGTGGCCACTCTGGAGCCAACCAGCAGTTTCTGCTGTCTGGACTTGGTCTGTTCCTGCCGCAGCTGGGAGGCAGGGTCTGGCTCCCTCTGCCTGGCGTCTTCCCTGTGCTCACCACGGGGCATGGAAGAGTCCCGTGTGTAGAGCTGGCTCTGGTCCTCTCACCTCTACATTCTGCCCCTCTCCTGCCCATGTCCTCCATGTACTGCACACCCACTATGGACTCTTTGCAGGGTCTCTGTGGAGACAGGGGCCAGGCAGGCTATGGCAAAGGTGCCTTTGAAACTTAGAAAATGGAAGCCAAGGAACAGGCAGAAAGGCAGGTGGATGCCTGGGCAGGTGGATGGATGCCTGGGCGGGTGGATGCCTGGGCAGGTGGATGGATGCCTGGGCGGGTGGACCCCTGGGTGGGAGGATGCCTGGGCAGGTGGACTTGCTGAGTTGAGCCTGTAACAGTGAGAGTGTGGGTCTGAGCAGCAGCTGATACCCGGGTGGCTGTGCCCAGGGAACGGTCATGGGCTCTGGCTACAAGACTGCTGTATATAGCAGGTGGACTTAACTGTGCCTGAGCCTCCAGCACAATACTCTCCCACTCAGTGGGAGGCCAAGCGGCCAGGCTCCCCCTTGTTCCGAGGGCTGTTGTGTGGGACTGGCCAGCTAGCCGGATGTGCTTCCTTTTAACAAGTGCTTTGTTTCGTTTTGTTTCATTTAAGATAGTGTCTCTCAAGGTAGCCTAGGCTGGCCTCCATCTTACAATATAGCTCAGGCTGGCCTTGAACTCATAGAAATCCTCCTGCCTCAGGCTCCCAAGTGCTGGGATTACAGACACATGCTACCACTTCCCTCTTCTAGAATCTGTTTTTGTTGCACTGGCCAGCGGGACTGCTGCTCTGCTGGGTCTTTCTGGTCTAGGTACAGCAATAATGGGAAACTCTGCTACCAAGTCCCAAGCCCAGGAGGAGGGCTCTGTCATGGGCCACTTTGGCAATAGAATGACACACGTGAGTGCTGGGAGGACAAGTCTTACAAGGTCCTAAGGAGGCATCTACAGAAGCTCTGGTGACCCAGGCACGGTCCCCCTCTCCTACCTTCCGGACAGGAACTGTAGATCTGCCCAAGTGCCAACATCTGGGTGACAGTGGTGGGCTCAGAAGAGTGACGCTCCTGATGGCCTCAGTGTGGGCTGAATGTTTCCGAGGCTTCATTCTGAGCCCTTCCGTTTGAATTTTAAGCAAAAAGAGCAAGGTCACAAGGCATTCCCAGTCCACTGCCCTCCCCTCCCCCTGCCATACCACTCATGTGTTACTTACTCCTTCCTAGGAGTAGATGCTGGGGGAGTCTAAACTGTACCCTGCATTCTGGTAGGGGAGGGACTCCTATCCTGGCCTGTTGTTCCTCTGCCCCTCCCCTGCTTTGCAGCAGCCATGGGAAAGGGACTTTTGAACTGCAAGGTCACTTGGCTCTTTCTCCCACCCCCATCCACCTGGGTGGCAGCAGTTCCACAGCTCCCTCCCTCTCTCCCTCCCTCCCTCCCTCCGAGGCTTCTGCTGCAGCCTCTGGCTCAGTGGAGCTTGCTGCAGAGGCTGCTGCCCAGGCTGGGGCACCCTGGAGGAGGAAGCAAGAACCATCCATCAAGCCAGTAGTAACCCCGCAGTGTCTGACCTGGGTTCAACCCACAGGAGGCCCTGCCCCAAGTCACATACGCCCTAGGGCCCTCGTGGGGTCTCCTGATGCAGCAGCATGGGCTATGGGTGTGACCTTGGTTAGGTCACCTGCTGCAATATAGCAGTGACTCCAAATGGCTGTGCAGAGGAATCAGGTCTTTAATGACAGAGGTTCAGTAGTCTGTGTTCTGGGATCTGAACCCAGCCTCTGGATCATCAGAACCCAAACTTTTAACCGTTGTGTTCCTCATCCTCTCAGTGCCCAGGCCTCAGGAGTTGGCTTTCCTCACTACCTTGTACTCAGAGGCACTCTCTACTAACCCAGTTTCTCTCTGCACAGAAGCCTTTGGAAGGGGTGGGGGGTGGGGGACACACTTCCCGAGGCTGTCCGTGCTGGGCAGTGTCTCTGTCCAGGCCCCAGGGAAAGGAGTATGGTGTATGAGTTAGAGTGACTGCCCTGTGCCTCTCACCAGGGTACCGAAACAGCCAGGGTCCTGGCGGGCAGCACCAGCTGTCCTGCTCCTTCCACCTTGTGACATATGGTGGCGCTGGGCACTTGCTCAGCAGAGCAGTGTCCCTTCCGATCAATCTGCCTTGCTGTCTGCAGGCCTAGCTGGGGTAGCTGCAGCCTCCTGCCCAGAGGGAGGGCCCTGGAGAAGGGGAGGAACAGCCAGGCATCAGACAGTTTCTGCTCTGCCCTCACCGGCCTTATTTTTAGCGATCCCCGAAGACATTGGGAGGGACTGCAGCTGGCTTTTAGTAGTTTTTCCTTTGTTTCATTAAAGTAATCTATTTTTGCTGGGAAACCCAGCTCTCGCACAGCACCGAAGCTATGGAAGGGGGTTACTGGTTCATTTCTGGGGACGTGACCCTCAGCTCAAGGTTTGTAGTGCTGAAAGCCACGGTAGTGTTCTCTGGGTGATTTTCGGCATTAAAATAGGTAATGTCCATGGATGTACTTAACAAATAGAGATGCTGTCCAAGTTTACCAGGAGAGGAACAGTCTTAAGATGCCTATTCCAGCCAACATTGGCTTAGTACGTAACAACCTGTAATTGGTCTGTAATACTTGTCCTTTCTTACTTAGCCCCCACCTCCATTTCCATATATTGACAATTTGCATAA